AAAGGGGGGGCAAAAGTCACTGCGCCCTGCCCCCATTTTCCTGGAAGAAGCATCCTGCCTCTTACTCCCAAAGCATAGTCCTCACCCCCTCCCTTTTGCCCTTTGGTGTCAAAGGAGCCCCAAGTCCCCCATCACAGTTGGAGAAGCTCTGCATGTACTTGGCACTTGTATTGACCCACACTCCCTGTGCAGAGGTGGCTGGGGTTGAACCTCAGCTGCCAAGAGGAACTCTGAGCCCCACCATGGCCAGGGTGCATTAACAAAGATTTGGAAAGGCTACCCATGAGTACACCAGCTACCTTTACAGCTCAAGGATTCAACTACTGGATGCAGAGATGCAGAAAGATGGTTGTGTGGTGGACTCTCCCATATTCCTTTATGAAATTGATTTATGGTCACAAATATGCATAAGTCAAAGATATTATGGACAAAATACCTCATGTAACCTATCAATCTTAATGTCCCAGTATTCTGGATCTGTATATCTTATTTTGGTGTATGTATCATTCTTGTATGTAGAATTAGAAATATGGAATCATTTATGGTTTTAAATATGCAAATGAAAGCCATCAAGGGTGTTTCCCTCAATGTCTGGGTGATCACCTGTAAACAGCCCCTTTTGTCCTTTAAGTCTTAGCAGTGGTTGGTCTTCGTAAGGCAAGTACCCACCCTAGTTGGTGAGTCTGACCAAGTAATTTTCCATGAAATGGGAGAATGTAAAACAGTTTCTACCTGAGAGGAAGGCTATCTAAGATGCAAAGTTTTCAGCCCTAATGTAAAACAGTTTCTACCTGAGAGGAAGGCTAAGATGCAAAGTTTTCAGCCCTGTGTCTTTGACTGGCATAAAACTCCCCAGAGAATGAACCAGACATCCCCGGGGGGGGAAAATATCTTCCCTGGCTTGGAGGGTTTGCTGAAATAAGAACAGTTTTAGGATAAGTTTGTACTGAGCTTTTACTGTTAGAAATAGCTATGCGTATTCTGTTATTTTAAATTTGTAATCTACTTTGCTCTGTTTTCACTTACAACCACTTAAATCCTAGTGTTTGCACGTAATAAAATTACTTTTATTTACTATCAAGCCCAGTGTAAATAATTGTTACCTGGGGGAGCAATCAATGTGTATATTGTTAAAGGGGGTTTACCTGAATGATTTACTCTTAATCATTTGATTATAGCTGCCCCTTGTGTTCTGCATAATATCTGTAAGGCAAAGAACAAGAAGTTGCTGCCAGAGTGGAGATGAAGCAGCTCAATTTCCCTGCATCACACTCCCTCTCAGTGCCAGGCTAGGTCAGGGAAGCCAAATTTGGTGATGAATCCTGGTCACCTGCCACCTGAATTATGTTATCCATATGCTAAGAAGATGATGTCATGCTCACAGTCCATGCATAAAAGCAGGGGGTGGGCAACCTGTGGCTCCAGAGCCACATGCAGCTCTTCAGAAGTCAATATGCGGCTCCTTACGTAGGTACCAAATCCAGGGCTGGACCTACAGGTGCCAACTTTGCACTGGGCTGGAGGTTGCTCACTGTTCAACCCCCAGCTCTGCCCTAGGCGCTGTCCTCCTCCACCTTTTACCCCTAGGATCCTGCCACTTCCTACCCTCTCCACTGAGCCTGTCACACTGATGGTCCCCGCCCTCTCCAGCAGCTCCCACTGAGAAAGATGGGATCACAGTGGCCAGGAGGAAAAGGAGAAGGAGGCACCTATTGGTGGGCCTGCCAGTGGGCGGGATGTGCTAAGAATGGTGGTGGGGAGGTGGGCTGGTGACATAGAACTGTTGTTCTTTGGCAATGTGCATTGGTCAATTCTGGCTCCTTCTCATGTTTAGGTTGGCCACCCCTGCATTACACTGTACTTTCACTAATCCAATGAGTTCTACGAACCTTTGCAGTTATAAGTAGTTGGTACTTTGACATTCTGTACTACAGAAGATGCTCAGGAATAGCAACGTATCGATACTCTTTTCTATGTTACATCAAGCAGCTGTTGCCATTATGAGGAATGTTGTCTGACCAGTGACACAGAGGCTACATCCACACTACGAGTTCTCAGCAAAAAATATGGTAATGAGGGACTTGTTTGCATGAGTTGCAATCTCATTTGCATATTTTCTGCCGATTCATTTTTGCACTGGAGTTTTTGCGCAAAAACAAGCAGTGGGGATGTTTTCTTTTTGTGCAAAAACCCCTTTTCCCGCAAGATCAGTAAACCTTTTTTGAGGCATAAGGATCTTGTGGGAAAAGGGGGTTTTGCACAAAAAGAAAACATCCACAGTGCTTGTTTTTGCACAAAAACCCCAGCGCAAGAATGGATCAGCAGAAAATATGCAAATGAGATCACAACTCATGCAAATGAGCCCCTCATTAGCATATTTTGCCAAGAAAACTCATAGTATAGATGTAACCAAAGAGTTGAGTGTTTTGGAGGGAGCTGGGCAGCCTCATTGTGGAGAGGGTTGCATGGGAGGGCTGCAGTCTTGAGCGGAACAGGGCATGGATTACCCTGGATTTGGTATGAGTGCCCTCAGTCACTGAAACGGCTGAGCAAGGATAGGCTGAGGATACTTGCACTATCAGTTTCATGCTCCACCCTGGAGAAGAATTTCTGACTGGAGACAGCACCATGTGCAGACTGCACACAGTGGAGATGGGATCAGTGAAACAGGTCACTGCTCTGTGGAGGGAGTTCCTCCAACCTTATTGATAAACAACACACCTAGCTACTGACACTCAAGATGAAGGGTAGCACTCAGTGGATGTGTGGGTGACCCCACTCACAGTTGGACATCCTTGGTCAGCAGAGCCCAGACGGGTGTTCACATGGGTTCACCCGAAAGGGGGGGCATTGAACAAAGTCTCTGCTACCACCCCCACTTCTGCAGCTACTTCACTGCTCCTGTTATCTCTGCCACCGTCTCTCCCACCACTTGCTTCCTTTGCTGCAATTATCCCTTCTGCGGCTATTGCTGCTTGCTACTTGAGGTCACTTCTCTGGTGCTGGGGTTGAAGGTTCCGCCACTTAGTTCAACTCTTTGTGAGTTCAGCTCTTATGGCTTTCCCTGAGTAGCAGGGAGCCTTTCTGTGGCTGCCTCTTCATTGTCATTCAGGGTCACTCTGACCCCACCCCAGGTCTCAGGCTCAGCCCCTGGATTTGCTTGTCTGTAATCAGATCTCCTAGTCCTTGAATAGAACCCAAGGTTCTCAAGTCAGTCCATTCAAATCTGTCTTTAAGCACTAGCGAGGAAAGGGAGATGAAGGACTTAAGTCAAAATAGCTTAATTCAGCTTTTGGCACTGTCTACACAGCAGGAAGTCAAAGGAAGAACATTCTCCTTTGACTTCCTTTACTCCTCATGAAATGAGGGTTATGGGAGTTAGAGTAACGTAACCCGGGGACTGCCTGTACTAGCGAGGAAAGGGACCATTATTTTGAAGTAATGGCTTGCAGTGTAGACCCACTCTGTTATTTCAGTATAACATCAGTTATTACAAAATAATGCTTCTGTGTAGACATACCCTATAAAAACACTAGAGGAAAGCAACCAAAGTACACCAGGTCTTGGACTCATCATAGTAAGTAAATCTATTCAGCACAATAAAAAGAATATGTACATGAAGCACTTGGACAACACATTATGAGGACACTAGAGGAAAGCAACCAAAGTACACCAGGTCTTGGACTCATCATAATAAGTAAATCTATTCAGCACAATAAAAAGAATATGTACATGAAGCACTTGGACAACACATTATGAGGACACTAGAGGAAAGCAACCAAAATACACCAATACACCAAATCCACATGTTCCGCAACACATTATGAGGACACTAGAGGAAAGCAACCAAAATACACCAAATCCACATGTTCCATCATGGAAAGCACTATTTATAAAAATAAGTGCAACACTTGCAGACCAAAATATGACTGCATCACTAATGAAACTGCAGTATTTTGGGTCATTATTGTAGAATACTGTATTTCTTTTTAAAAGAATAGACCAGTGTTTCTTAAACTTTTTGAGACCATGGAACACCAAACAATATTTTCTTTTGCAGAACACCTATGAACATTTTCTTAAAAAAAAATAGTTGGTCAGACAAAAAAAAAAGACAAAAACAAAGAAGAGGTCACGACACACCTGCGAGTTGAGCACTATTTATAAAAATAAGTGCAACACTTGCAGACCAAAATATGACTGCATCACTAATGAAACTGCAGTATTTTGGGTCATTATTGTAGAATACTGTATTTCTTTTTAAAAGAATAGACCAGTGTTTCTTAAACTTTTTGAGACCATGGAACACCAAACAATAATATTTTCTTTTGCAGAACACCTATGAACATTTTCTTAAAAAAAAAATGTTGGTCAGACAAAAAGAAAAAAAAAGACAAAAACAAAGAAGAGGTCGCGACACACCTGCGAGTTGTTCACAGAACACCAGTGTTCCACGGAACATAGTTTAAGAAACACTGGACTAGACTCATTTTCAAAAGGGTTGAAACTGATGTGTCTGTGCAAAAAGTGTATATGAATGCCCATAGTCACATGCAAAATCATTTACTCTTGTTTGCAATACCTTTTCAACTATGAAGCTGTTGAAAAGCAAAGAGACTCAAAAACTTCCACATATTGCAGGAGAGTTGTAAGAGCAAATTTTGAAATTTTAGAAGATGACTAAGACTGCCCCTGGTGCCTAAAGGTTTCTAACGATCTTAAGTGCCTCTGAAAAACCTGTCTCATAATTACATGATTTAATAATATAAAATGGTTAATATGTTCTGGAAATAACTACAATTATGAAAAATAGATGGTGAAAAAGAAAATTTGGAGGCATCTGTTTGCGTTCCATCTGCACTTTCAGGTATTAGAGGAGTTCAGAGTAAAAAGAGATTCTAACAAATTACAGTTGCTAAAAATTACATTTACAGCTCTGAAAGGATTCAAATTCATTGTCCACAAGGGGTTTTCTTTTATGCTTTTCAGTTATGCTTCATATAAAGAATTAGATATTTAGGATTAGAGAACAAATAGATAAGTTAATAAGATCATTAACCTATTTTTAAGTTATGCAGAAAAACAGAAAGGAGTAGCTACGTAATAGAGTGTGGTGTCCACTCCAGTGAAGTTTGAAGTACAGTAGTCTATAGATTTTAGTGCAGTGGGTTTTTTTGCCATATAACTCTAACCAATTATTTTTAATAATTATATTCTAAAACACATAGAAGTCATAATTCCCCTATATCTATTTTGCATTTATATCCATGGATTATATTTTGAGGGGATACAGATTGTTCAGAGCACTTCTAGCTAAAACATTATCTGCTTGTACTTACGACATTTTGTGACTATCCATAAAAAAGTATCATCTACAAAAATATGTCTAAACAATGAGGAGTTCTGTGGCACCTTAAATACAAACACATTTATCTGGGCATAAGTTTTGCCGACTGGAGTCCAGTTCGTCTGATGTATGTTACACGACTACTCCTATGAAAATTATGCCTAAGTCTGTAGGAAGCTATTAAAAATCCTAGCACATTCCCCCATCATAAAATCTAAACATAGAACTTCTGATCCTTAAAATACAAGAGACTGTGAATACACTGCTTGATTATTTTGAAATCCTGCAGGAAGTAATTCAAAATCACATTAATAAAGGATAATAAGTTTAACATACCTGTGTTGTATGCAGTTAGAACCATCAAAGCTCCCTGCCTGGAAACAGAATGCAGTTTTGTACACCTATAGCTCATATTTTCTTTTTGTTTGCATAAGAACCAGGTTCGAAAGAAAAGGAGTATCCTTGAATGCTGTGCATGCCACACTGTTTATACCACTATGCCTTCCCATAGCAGATATGCTTGTGTCTCATTCTTGGCTGTATAAGGCAGCTGGCAATAAGACACAATATGGATTGGCTGAAGTCTTTAGTGTCTTTTAACCTTTTCCTTCACTTCATGTGCAATTATTTTTGTCAACATGCTGCATAATACTTCTCATATAACAAAGCCTTCACTTCATGTGCAATTATTTTTGTATTATGCAGCATGTTGACTTCTCATATAACAAAACTGATTTAAAGACTACTGAAATAAAAGCTTTTAATGGTTTAATGAATTTTAAACAGGCCCCAAATTCAACATTTGTTATTTTTTAAAATAATTTTTTACATTTTAATTTCTCTTTATAACAACTAAAAGTTAACAAGACATAAAAAAGATCATTTCAGAAAGTTAAAATATTGACACTTTCACAACAGATTCATTAGGACTCATTCTTATGTACTTAGTTTCAAACCAGTTTGGGATTCATAACTGTTTGGTAACCCATGGCAGCTTGAATATGCAAATTCAAAGAGGCTTGCGTAGAAATGTATGAATTGCATTCATTTCAGTACCCATCTCCCATTTGTGTCTTTGAAAACCTCCTCTGTGATCAGTCTATATTGAAACTCCAAATTAATTTACCATGTTAATAAGCCTTAGAACAGCAGATCCCAAACACTAGGCCAAGGACTGGTGGCAGACCATGAACCCCTGCCTGTTGGGCTGCAGCACATTGCCAGGCCATGCCCCCTACTGCTAATGAGCCATGTGCAGTGAGGAGCTACCGTTTCCTATAAGGTGCATGCCTGCCCACACAGAAAAAATGTTCCGACCATGGGAAGTGGCACTGCAAGCAGCTGGGTGTGCCACAACTGGAGCCGGGCCACAGTGATGCTGTCCCTGCTGGGGCAGCCTGACTGCTCCAGGTTACTGATCCACGGCAGCCACGTGGCCTACAACAGTCATGTGACTGCTCTGGCGGGAGGGTGCTCTGGGGGTGGTTAGACCATGTGGCTGCTCCAGGGACTGGCTCAGCCCCAGCATCCCTGCCAAGGGGTCCCTTTACTTTCCCTCCTTAATTCATCTCAGAGCAGGAGACAGGGTGCTGTGGCTATCAGCTGTACCCCTTGGCCCCTCTCCTCAGACTGTGGCAGACTTCTTCCAGGCTTCAGCTGCGTTGCCATTAAAAAAAGGTCTTTAAAATTTTCCTTCCTTTTTAAAAATAATCCCAAGAGCCAAAGCTATAGCTGGCTCCCAGCAGAGGGGGATTTTCCTTTCATCCCACCTTCTCCTTTGCAGAGTTGCTCAATCATTCTTTTGTGGCAAAAATGTTTGCAATGTTTCTTGACCTTAATGCCAAAGCTGGAAAAAATGAATGTGCAGAATGTGTCAGCACTGTCAGACCTGTTAAGTACTGCCTCTAATTCTGATGCAATTGAGGCAAAAGGTTTGGACTGGAGAATATCTTCAATAAAAAGTATTAGCAACTATTTTATTGGTTTAAAATGTGTATGCGCAGCAGTTTTTCAAATTCTTGTTAACCATCATGTCCCCCCTCCTTTGATTTGCCTGATGTACCATGGGCTAGATACATTTAAAAATACTGAAATATGCTAAAACTTACATTCATGAATGAATACGTTTAATTGAAGCAAACACGCTGGTTTAAGTTGCTTAATATGAATCACCATGAACAACTTTTACCCAAACTGGATTACATTAACTCTTTACAACCCAGTCAAAGAGAAGCCAACATTTACCATGCTTCAAAACAGTGTTATCTTGCATTATCTTCTCGTGCAGCTCTTAGAAGCTCAAAGAATCTTCACTAATGTGTGAACTGATTAATATTCCAGCTGGAGGAATATTTCTATTCTAGCAGAAATGTTTCGCGCTCTAGTCTTATAAAAATAAGGATTCTCCACAAATTAGTGAAAACCAGAACTATTCCGCAAAAAAGCATGCCATCCGTTTCACAATGATTTTGATCTTGCATGTTTGTATGTTTTTATGCCTTTAGACTTCACATTATTTGGGGAAGGGATACTTCACTAGTGGTTTAGCAGTGTTTTCCTATTGTATAACTCTGCATTCACTGATAAAAACTATAGGAAAATAAAATCTAAGCTAATATTGATTATTAAAAACTAAACTACATTATTAAGTGCATAGGAATCAGCAAACAGATTAAAGCCAATGAATGACATAAAATAACACGCGACCACTTAAAACTAATTACCATAATAGATATGCAAATAAATTACAGTCTTAAATATGCACATGTTTCCGTGCCAGTCTGCCAAAAGTTTTTGAATGAATTTGCCAGCCCACAGCATAAAAAAAGGTTGGGAACCACTGCCTTAGAATTTAACCAATTTTATTTGTTAATGTGCCCTCACATTTCATCTTCTAACAAGGACCTCAAACTAAAATGGTACAACTCCAGCACAGTGCTCCTTTGATTGCAGACACTAAGGGCATGTCTACACTACAGAGAAGATCGAAGCTGCTGCTGTTGACTTTCCAGGGTTCAAATTAGCAGGTCTAGTGAAGACAGCTAATTCAAACAGAGAGGAGGGCTCTGGTCAATGCCACTAGTCCTGCTTCCACGAGGAGTACAGGAAGTCAAAGGGAGAGTTCTCTCCCTTCAACTTCCTGCAGCGTGGACAGCACCAAAAGTTGAATTAAGGTACCTTGACTTCAGCTACACAGTTAACGTAGCTGAAGTTGCGTATCTTAATTCAATCTTATCCCATAGTGTAGATATACCCTTAGTGAGCTGTCAGTCAAGCAAAGGGAATCTCACATTGCAAAACTGGCTTTCTGGACCTGATCCAGTAGCCCCTGACACCATGGAATGTCTGCCATTGAATTTAGTTATCTTTAGATCAGGCAGGGAGCAGCTCCAGCCATGGCTGTATTTAATTCATCTAACAGTCATCATTCCAGAGTGTCAATACCAGTGTCAATCAAGCTAGAGGGTGTTTTGTTTCTAAGCTGAAATCAAGGACTCATACAATTAATTAATGGGGTTCTATCAGAAGACCAAGATGTCTCACTGTGATTGAGACATAGTCCAAAGGACAAGACACCACACGGAGCACGGATCTCTTTTATTGCCTTTCCTGTATACTCCTAACAATACGGCCATTTCTGCAAGATGTGTGAGGGTAAAAAATGTCTGTTTGCAGCAATCAGCTATATTTTATGCTTCGTGGAGTCACAGCCACTGTGAACAATACTGTTCTCTATTGCTTCAGTATGATTAAAAAGACGGCTGGGGAAATGGAGTTACATGGACAATCTCATGGGCACTCATGTCACTCTGTAAAAGTTTGGAGTGATCAAATTAACCCTAGTGTAACATTTTCTCCCTTTTGTATACATGCTAAAGGTGGATAATGGACAGATTCATTCACAGCCTGTGCATCATTTCAGCCTCTATCATTTTTATATCTTAAAATCTATCAGCTTTTTACAAATGTGACCCACTGTCCATAATTATTAATTACTAATTTATCATAGCAATGCCTAACAGCTTCAGCCAGGCACATTCATATACCAAATCGATGGTCTCTATCCTGAAGAGCTTCTTTCTAATGCAAGTAGAAGACAAGACAGGTGGATACACAGACTGATGGAAGGGAGCACAAGCTAACAATGAGAGTTATAATCAGTGTCATAAGCAGTGGTCACAGCACATTGACATCAGTATTTTGAGGATCAGAGTAATTAGTTTCTTGCTGTATCTTGTCCTGATGTTTCTCAGCACTTAGAAAAATTAGATGTCTTCAAGTCACAACGGCCTGATGATATGCATCCTAGAATTCTCAAGGAGCTGACAGTAGTGGTATCTGAGCCTTTACCTATCATCACTGAAAAATCATGGAAGATGGGAAAGATTCTAGAAGACTGGAAAAGAGCCAATATAATGCCAATCTATAAAAAGAGAAATAAGAACAACCCAGGAAACTACAGACCAGTCAGTTTAACTTCTGTGCCAGGAAAGATAATGGAGCAAGCAATTAAGGAATTCATCTGCAAACACCTGGTAACAGCCAGCATGGATTTGTAAAGTACAAATCATGTCAAACGAATCTAATAGCTTTTTTTGATAGGATAACGAGTCTTGTGGATAAGGGAGAAGCAGTCGATGTGATATACCTAGACTTTAGCAAGGCATTTGATATGTTCTTGCATGATCTTCTTATCAATAAACTAGGCAAATACAACTTAGATGGGGCTACTGTAAGGTGGGAGTATAACCAGCTGAATAACCATTCTCAGAGAGTAGTTATAAGCAGTTCACAATCATGCTGGAAGGGCATAACAAGTGGGATTCCGCAGGGGGTCTGTATTGGGACTGGTTCTGTTCAATATCTTCATCAATGATTTAGATAATGGCATAGAGAGTACACATTAAGTTTGCAGATGATACTATGCTAGCAGGGGTGGCAACTGCTTTGAAGGATAAGCTCATAATTCAAAATGATCTGGACAAACTGGAAAAATGGTCTGAGATACATAGGATGAAGTTTAATAAAGACAAATGTAAAGTGCTCCACTTAGGAACAATCCGTGTCCCACATACAGAATGGGAAGCGACTGTCTAGGAAGGCGTACTGCTGAAAGATCTAGGAGTCATAGTGGACCATAAGCTAAATAAGAGTCAACAGTGTGTTGCTGTTGCAAAAAAAGCAAACATGATTCTGGGATGCATTAACAGGAGTGTCATGAGCAAAACACAAGAAGGCATTCTTCTGCTCTACTCTGCACTAATTAGGCCTCAGTTGGAGTAGTGTATCCAGTTCTGGGCACCACATTTCAAGAAAGACGTGGAGAAATTGGAGAAGGTCCAGAGAAGAGCGACAAGAATGATTAAAGGTCTAGAGAACATGACCTATGAAGGAAGACTGAAAGAATTGAGCTTGTTTAGTTTGGAATGGAGAAGACGGAGAAGGGACATAATAGCAGTTTTCAAGTATCTAAACT